GAAGGGAACACTCTTCGCCCGGAATTCCTCTGGCGGAGGGGATTGTTGGTTTGGTGGTCTGGGATCCTTCAGGGCCTTCCTGAGTCTCAGGTCGGTGGAGAACGCTTTTACTGATAACTAGATCTCCCCTCTCCATCCCCACGAAGATCCTGAGAGGGTCCCATTTCCTGCTCTGGTAACTTGGAGAAAACTACTCTTTCATTTCTAAAGAAAATGAAATCTTATTATTTGGAGGTGGTAGCGGTAGGGTGTTGGTCAAGCAGCGATTGAGAGTCCTCTCGATTTTCCACGAAAAAGTGGAAGATGAGATGGAGGGAGAAAGGAGAGGCTGAGATCTAAAGGGCAAGACTCTCAGGCCGAGCGGAGTTCACCGCGCAGTGAACCCGCTCAGCCGGCCACGCAGCCCGCGCTCCCCGCCCCGCGCCCTATTGTCCTCCCAAGCCCGGGGTCGTGACCCAGCAGAAGGCGACACCGCGTCCAGGGCTGACGCGGCGTGGAACCCGGAGGAGGAGCCGGGCTGCCGCTGGCCCCTGGAACCTCTCCTTTGCCCGGCCTGGCCCCATTTTGCGATTCTCAAGACCCCGGCCTCTGCGAGAAGGGGAACTGGGACACCCCCACTGCATGAAGATAGTCACATTTTGTCCCATTCTCCCGCAGCCAGGCCTCCCGGGAAGCCAGAGCCCCGGGTGGAACCCAGGGTTTGGCTATCTAGCAGTGCCTCCTGCACACTCGGTTCCAGGCTTTTTTCTGCCTAGAAATTAAAATACTGTATACTTTCCTCTTTCAATCTTTGATGCTGGGAAGAGAGGGAGTCAGAAGGGAGTGAGTAGACGCGACACTTTTTTGGTTTGACTCATACCACATCAAGGCTGGCGGAGCTGACCCTAGAGGATGCTGCCTATTCAGGAATCTGAAAATTTGTGGATGCAGACTAAAAATTTAAAATAGTCCCTTCATCATTGTTAGGCTCTGTAACCCTGTTCACCCTCAAACATACTCTCAGATATTCCCTACCCATCCTTGTCTTCCCTTCCTCCTGATTTATCCACTTAGGCCTGGCAGACACAGGAAGGCAAGAAGATGGGGCTGCAGAGGCCCTTATCCCTGCCTGCCTGGACGTCCGTTCTGCTGGATTGGCCCTGGGTTCAAAGAGCTACAGAACTGACCCCAGAGAGAAGAGAAGAAAAGCACCTCGGAGTGGAGGGAGAGCCAGGGGCTCCTGCCCTTGGAGGGCTGATAAGCAAACCTCTGGATCGGCTTTAGTTTCTATCTGCTTCCCAAGTTCAAAAGGGGTCTGAGCTCCTTGAGCTGCGAAGGTTTTAAAATGTCCAACGGCTCCTCTCAGACCTCTGGCTCAGAGTTCACACCCCTCCCCATGTTTAATTCTCAAGAGGCAGCTAAAACCCCAACACCCGGAGCAGCCACACGCTGCAGGAGAAAAATCAAAATGCAGAAAAAGCAGGCTGAGAGGGGTTGTCAGCTCTATCAGAAAGATTGGTAAGAGGCAAAGACTTTTTTTTTCCACCAAATCCCCCAAATGTTTATTTTGGGCTCCTGCCCATCCAGATAAATCAAGCTAACAGATTAGGAAGTTCATAAAATTGTATTCTTAGGTAATGACATCCAGAGAGGTAATAAATATTCCCTGTGCTCTGGTGGCCACTGGAGTTCTGGTGTTCGGGATGTTCCATCTCTTGTTCCAAGCCTGAGAGGGGTCTCTTGGAAGGGGAACATTTAAATTAAAATGAGTTCTCCATAGGTGCGGTGCCAGATAGACGCTGTGGAAAACCCAGAGCGGTGCTCTTGAGTGCACTAGCAGGCTCCCCCAGCTTGGGCAAAAAGCAGAGACAAAGATGGTACAGTTGCCCAGTACACTGCTCCTCTCCGCCATAGCACCCTTGATCTTAAGGGCCCCTTTCGGAATTAGTCTCCCTAATCCTAGAAAAGCACAGAAGGGCACCCTGGCTCCAAGCTCCCAGCAAACCTTTTAATTGTTTTCATTTCCCTGCCACTCCCCCCAACACACACACACACACACACACACACACACACACACACACACACACCTAGCTGTGGAAAGCTGTCCCTGGATTTCAATCTGCCAAGTCCAAGCAGAAAGAAAACTGAAGCACAGATTGCAGAGAAAACTTTGTAGGAAACTTCGCACAAACAGCAGCAAGAGACCCTCGGAAAAGCAAAGTGTCCTAGTCCTTTTCCCTCAGTCCCACTTTTTCAGACTCTCTCTCTGTTTTTTGAGCCAATTTCTTTACTCCCCAGGTACACAGATTCGGCACAGAAATGTCTTTTTCCCCAAGCAGAACCCCTCCACTCACAGCTGGATTTCCCGCCTGCCATCCCTAAGACCGGGAGTTGAGACAAAAATTGAGTGGCAAATAGAGATAGAGTTTAATAATTTTGTGCTCCTCATCCCCAGAGCAGATCGAGTGCTACCTACTTACATGTCAAAGGGATTTTTGGTCTGTGGGGATCTCCTGGCGGTTGGAGAGAAGGAACCCTGGAAGATTGGTGTCGCCGTTTCACCCGTCTTCTTTTTACTTAGCCATTGAAGAGAGAGGGATACAATGCACTAACAGGCATTCATGCGCCTTGCCTCTCCCATTACTCTGGGCAAGAAATCTCCAGTCCTACAAAAGCAGTGGCATCCTATCTGGAGACCAGGGCCGAGCAAGGGCTGGCTTGGGAGGGTCAGAGATGGGGGTGGGGGAGAGGTCAGAGGCGCTGCCGAATATAAAGGCAATGGGAGAGAAAATGCTGTGTCCTTCCCGTGAACCTGGGCTGTGTCCTCCCCCCAGCCTTTCCCCACTGCTTAACCCAACTTAAATAAAAGCCCGGCCCTCAGCTTCCCAATGAGGCTGTTGCAGCATCGGGCAGAGCAGCAGGGACCAAGACTGCTGGAGCTTGGGGCCCTCTGCCCAGAGTGGCCCCCCACACCCCAACCCTGCCCTGCCATTCTGGGTGGCCAGGTCCAAGGCAAAGGAGAGCTTTGGGGAAAGGGGAGAAAATGGAGCCCACTGGAGGGAAGGCCAGAGGCCAAAATTTTCAAACTCCAATGTAAGGGATTTTAGTTTGGGTTCATTTACGGATTTCTGATGTTTCCCCTGTTCAGACCAGAAAGGAAGAAGGAGACACACAGAGAATGACTATGTATATGAGGGAAGAGGAAGGAGAAGAAACAGGAGACGTAAAGAAGGTGAAATAAAATAAGTGTTCTGACCCTTTTATTGCTGCTTTTCCTGAACTAAAGAGTGTCCCTTCAGTAATTTCAGGGAGAAACTTAGGAAATAAAATGTGGTAATTTCCCCCTTGCTCACTCTCATCTCTTCCACTTTTGGGAGGAGAGGGACAAACTCCCTGAAAGCCACACGAGCAAACTTAGGAAAGAACCATGGATCTCAATTTACCCCTTCCCTGCTTTCCATCTTAGCTTCTTTACAGGCTTGAAAAGACACCCTGGTGCCCTTAGACCTTCCTTCCCTTTTCCCAAGCACAGCTAGAACCCCCTTTTCCTGTTCCAAGGGCAATTGCCTCAAGACAATAGGGGCTGCAGTCAGATGTGGCCCCTAATTCACTTGATTACATAAAATAACTCGTGATAATTGTTGGCCTGCTTCCTAACACTGTAGCAGCCTGTTTTGTTGCCTCCAGGGTACCATTAAGGGAGGACAAGTAGACCAAAAGGACTAAGAGATTCCCCCATGCACACACACATGTGAGGACACACACACACACACACACACACACACACACACGCTCCAAGTAACATCCAGCAAGTGGTTCAGAAGGAAATAAATTCAAAGCATACCAAAGTGATTTTCACAACTTAGTCCTGCTGTTGTCTTTCACTCCAGAGTTTGGGGATGGAGAAAAGGGGTATCCCTGGCTTCCCTGCATACCCTAGATCTCTTTCTCCCTCTCTTCTAATTCTAATTGCCTTTCTTCCTGAAATATGGATACATTGCCAGAGAAGAAGCTCACCAGCAGCCCTCCTCCCACTTCCTAACAAACAAGTGAAAAATTAAGCAGGCCTCGCTAGGGCCTGGTTCTCAGGACCAGAATTATTTGGGAGCCTTTGGCTTGAATGTATTATTCAGGTAATCCAGGCAAGATTTTTTGTTTCTTTTTTAGCCCCAAGGAAACAATTTTGTTTAATTAATTTATTTCTTTACAGCCAGAGAGACTTGTTCAGGCTATCCCCATGCCCTGCCAGAATCTGGGAGGTTATAGGAAGAGAGCATGGTCCTTGATTCTCCCTGAGTCTCTTCTCAACACCTGGCAGGTCCATAATAAAAGTTAGAGAATAAAAAGGTAAAAGTCTTTTATTATCTCCAGGCATCAGTCTTTGAGGCCTACCCATAACCAGGGCACCTCCCAGGCCTCTGGCCTCCACCTTACCCTTTTATCCAAGCCTAAACAAACAGAGAAGGCATCCTGACAGGTCACTTTGCTGCTTCAGAATCACCAGCTCAAAATCTTTCTTCTTTTAAGAACTCCAATGTTAAGGGGATGTCTTCCTTAATCCCTCATCCCAAAAGAGCCCTAAAAGATGAGAGAAAACTCTTCTCCTTCCCACTCCCTAAACTTGCCCTCTTGTCTACAAATTAGGCAGGCCTACTCAGCACAGAGGAGGGAGAAGGGAAGAGAGAGAACAGACAAAAAGAAAAAACTGTACCTAACTATAGAAAAGTGAGACACCCCCCAACCCTCAGGTCCACTGAAGTACCCCCAGAGGAGTCTGGACTCTCTGCAGACTCAGGGGGAAGAAAGGGGACTGGAGAAATCAGCCTTAATCCTCCACATGCCCTCTTCTGAAGATCCCATACCCCAACCCCCTTGCTGGTTCTTCCAAGGACATTGGAAGACTAATGGAGAGCTAAGATTTGTGTGTTTGTTTAAAGTAAACTTAGGCAACTATAGAGAAGATGGTATGTTACCAGGCCAGAGAGAGGAGGGGGATAAAAAGAAACCATCAGACATTGACGTAAAACTAATTCACATCCACTGGTTTATTATTGATCACGGGGCATTTCACATCGACACTAAAATTCTTTATTGCAAGTTTTACAATAATCAAGTAAATTCAGTCCAAAAACACAATAACCACGATGGGGGTGGGGAGAGATTCTACCTATAGACTGCCTCTCTGAACTGAAAGTTCATTTCGATTTTCTTTTGGCTCCTCAAACTGAACAGCTCTGAGAGGCTCTCCAGATGCATTTAGCTTTGTCTGCTGTCTTCACCCCCTCTCCTCCCCCCCCCACAATAATACAAAAGAACTTCATAGCTTTGTTCTCCTTAAAATGACTTCCCCCTCACTAACCTCCCCTGGTGCATTTTCAATGCAAAAGGCCTAAGGAAAGAGAGGGGAAGGAGGAGGAGGTGAAGGAGGAGAACTGGCTTTAAAATCTCTTTCCTTTTTTCTTTTCCTCATTTCCCCTGAAATCCACCCAAACCAGACCATCACACCTTGCAATATATAATTTTTGCAGCTTTTTTTTCTTAAAAAATAAATAACCCCCCCAAATGGCCTTAAAAAAAAACACCCAGCAGGTACCATGCTAAGACAACATCACATGCTTAAAAGGGTCCTTAACAGTGGAAGGGAGAGGAGGGCAGGGGGCTTGTTTGTTTATCTGTTTTGTCTGTTTGGAACTGACAAGGAACGAGGTGAGAGGAAGAGAGGAAAGAACCAATATATATATATATATATATATATATTAAATTCTATAAATAAGAGTCAATTTGTGTGTGAGGGGAGGGTGTGGGCACGGGGTGGGGGCAGGGGTGTGAGTTATGTTTTATAACCTGGTAATGTCCTCTGCCCGTTGCTGCTCCGGCGGCGTGGCGCTCTGGGAGTGGTCTTCAGAAGTGCCCGGGGTAGCTGCCGAGAGGGTGCTGGGCGCAGCGCCGGTCGGGGGCGCTGACCTGACTTTGGTGTTGGGGAGTCGGTGGTCCTTCTTCCATTTCATGCGACGGTTTTGGAACCAGATCTTGATCTGCCTCTCAGAGAGGCACAGCGAGTGGGCGATCTCGATCCTTCTCCTTCGGGTCAGGTAGCGGTTGTAATGAAACTCTTTCTCTAATTCCAGGACTTGCTGCCGAGTGTAGGCTGTCCTCGAGCGCTTGGGCTCCCCTCCGTTATAATTGGGGTTCACTGGGGGGAGGGGGAGGGGAAAAGCAAATAGTGGGGTTCAGAGGCAGCAGGCTCCCCGCCCCCCACCCTCACCCCATCCTCAGCTCTGAGGAACAGGAGGAGGGAGTGTTGGAAATAAAGTCATCAAGCTTAAATGGGTTATAAAGAAGTTGAAGGAAGCTGAAGACTTTGTAGTGTAATAAGAGGGGAATCCTCATTGTAACGACACTGAATTATTTATGCGCCCTTAGAAAGCGAGCATAGTTTTCACACATACATAACAGATCGTAGCACATGGCTCGGACTGCCCAGAGTAGCTAAGCCATAAAATTTATGGGGGATGTAATTACCCATTCTCGCTCGTAAATCCAGTTCAATTGTGCTAACCCAGAGTCGCTCCTGGAGAGAGAGGGGGAAGGAGAGAAAGGAGGACGGGGCCAGAGGGGGCCGAGGAGGGTGGGGAGCGCTGGGGAAGAAGGGAGGGAGGGGGGAGGAAAAAGCAAAGTTGCCTACCCGTGCTAACGTGAATTTTTTTCATCCATGGGTAGACTATGGGTTGCTTGCTGGCGGCGCTGGAGGGATGGTCGGGGGCTGGCTGGCTGCAGGCTGGCGGGGCTGGGGACGGGGAGGCGGAGGCGCCTGAGAGAGGCGCCGGCTCGCAGAGAGACTGTGATTTCTCGGGGTGGTGGTGGCCCGCCTGGGCCGGCCCGTGGCCTCGCGAATTGCCTGGCCCCTGGAGACTGGTGCAGCTATACTGGCGCTCAGGGTAGCTAGGGCGCGGAGGCGGTGGTGGGTACAGCTCCTGGTGGTGATGCTGGAATCCCGATTCCCTGGTCCGGCCGTAATATTCCGGACTGTGTTCAGGGATGTAGCTATTTTGCGAATATTCTTCGCATGGAGGAAATTTCGGATCGATGTAGTTAGAGTCCATCAAATACGAGCTCATGATCATTAATTTCTGGAGTGGAAAATAATTTTTCTCGCTTTGTCGTTTTTCTGCTCCATAAAGCCCTCCTACTAGCTAGCGACCCTGTAAAGTTACTTTCACCATGTGACTCCGCCGGCCAATCACACGGAGCAACCCAGTCCCCGGATAAGGAACCGAATCGCTTTATTCAAAATGTATCCAATTTTTTTGTGTGTGTAGTGGTGGTGGTGCTGGGGGGTGGGTGGTGATGTGGGGTTAGCTGGCAGGGGCTGGGGTGCACCCAGTGCACATCCCGTCAGACTGACAACCCTCCCCTGCAAAAGGAGATGGAAAGCTCCCGGCTCCCCTCCAAAGCCTGGGCATTGGGGGGCTGTCGGGAGGCAGCGATTCAGCCCTCGCCCAGGGTCTCCCCTCAGGCCTCTGCTGGGCCCCGTGGGCCTCGGCTCCTGAGCTTTTCCAGAGGTCTCCATTCATGGCGATCGTGTCTCAGTCTGTGTAGGTCACCGGGCAGCGCCCCTCTTTCGCAGGAAGAGGAAGTTGAATGAGGACTGGAGTGGAGGTTGGATGGGGAGGGGCCCAGGCTGAGCCGAGGAGGCTGGAGAGCCTAGAGTGCCCCCCATCCAAGGATACCAGAGTCCAGCCCCCCTTCCCCATACACACTCACCCAACCCTCTGGCCATGGGGCCGGCGAGGCAGGGTCCCAGCTGGACCAGGCAGGTAGAGGCAGCGGGATGCAAATGATTCTGACGTCATTTCTGGAGGTCTGGGGGTTGAGCCCCCGCTGAAGAGAGACAGGAAGTGGTTGGCAAAAGCAGAGTTCAGAAGCCTCACCCTCCCCTGCTACCCACTGACCCTCCCTGCCCCAGCCCCAGGGCAGAGGGTCTCTTCTACTGAAGGTTCCTGTTTCCACTCCCCATTCAGCCAGGCCTGCTGTTTTCTGACAATTATCTCCAAGGCTGGCTCCCAAGGAGCTGGGGCAAGGAGGAGAGCTTTCTGCCAGGAATCAGTGCCCTGTGATGGTGCCCAGCCAGGGCCCTGAGAATTTTTTCTCTATCCCCACAGAGGGCAGACCTGGCTAAGAAGGAGGCCTGTGTGGGTAGAGCCTGCTTACTTCTGGCTAGGAGCTGTATCCATGTAACACGTGTGTTTACATGTAAACACGAATTCCTAAGGGCAAGCTCTAGGCTGCTTTCCAAAAACGGAAGGCTATGCTCACCAAGCTGGGGAGGCAGGGTCAGGCTTGGGGGTCTCCAGCCGGTTCACACCCCCTCCCCTCTCTCTGCCACCCACTCACAGTAATACTCTGATAGAGGGGGGTGGCAGGGACATAGAAGAGGGAGGGGGCCAGGAAGAGCTGCTTTCCTACCCCCCCCCACCAGCTAGGGGTGGCCCTGTCTTGCCACCGATTCCAATTAACTGATCGCCCATAACTCAGAGTTGGGGGGGTAGCGGAGGGGAGAGCCCAGGGAGGGAGCCGGGTCCCCTTGTTGTACTTGATAACAATTATAGTTTAAAATCATAGCTTGCCGGGGCTCGGCTATATTTTACTTGATAACAATAAAAGTGACACATAAAGTTAACTGTTTATGTTTTATTTATTAGACTAAATCTGCCAGCGGTGGTAGGAGCGCTTGCCTCGTCGCTACAGCTTTTATAGGGCTGTAAAACGTCATAAATCAGTCTCGCGGAATCGCCCGCACTCTTTGTGTCGGCGGCGGCGCGGGGCTGGCGGCCGCTGGCTGCCTGCTCCCTCCTTTCCACGAAAAGTCGTAATGTGATTTTTTCCCCTCTGATTTTATTATTATGATCGTCGCCGTGATTAGTCAATCTACCTTTAATTCGCCGCCCTACGCTGCCTCCTCCCAGCCCAGCCTGGTTGACACTTGAATAAGTACCTTTTAAAATGGCATAACAACTATTTGAGGGTTTAATTAGAACATCTGCAATTAAGGGAATGAGGAGGGGAAAGGGAAAAAAAATAATAAAGCTCTTGTGCGAGGGAGACCGAAGGCAAGAGATTCCCATCCTTTTCTCATCACCTTTGGGATGTTGGAGAGGGTCCCCATTTCTAAATTAGGGCTTCCCCAGAGGGCTGGAATGAGAGGGAAGCTGGACCACAGGCCCATGCCCAAAGGATGCGGATTCCCTCCTGGGCCCTGGCTGCCTTCCCTCTTCCCATGCTTACATCCCCACTCCCATCCCAGGCTCTGCAGGGCCAGGGCTTAGCTCCAGAAGAGCTGCTGCGCAGAGGTCCCTGAATACTCTCTCCAAGAGGACAGTGCCTACCCCCACTGTCACCAGGCCAGGTGAAGGAACAGGGGTTCCCCAGAGGCTGACCACCTCTTATGGAGATTGCCAGATTCTCAGAGTTGGATGAGAACCTTTGCCCACTCTTGTCCGGAACCCTCTGCATGTGGGGACGGGCTGGCTTAGTTGGAAGAGGAACTTGAGAGTATGAGTGAGGGGGTGGAGGGAGGCTGCCACTTGGTGAATAGTGGATTGGGTTGTGTGAGGGTTTTCTTATTTTAATCATTGGTGGTGGGGGGGGGTTCATTATAAATTGCTGGAAGAGGGCAAAGGGAAACCAGTGCTGAATCCCCAGTAACTAAGTCTGAACTGTAGTCCCAGATGGCTCCATGGGGAGGTCTAAAACTCAGCAAACTTTGGGAGGGTTTGGAGAGGGTTGATGAAGAGGGAGGAAACCTTCCAGGCCCCACTCCCAGTCCCCTTCTAGGCCTGTACCTGGGTAAGGCTGCCTCACCTGGAAAGGCAAGCTGTCAGCCTGGCTCTTCCTCTCGCAGCCCTCACACTCACCTTCTACCACCCCTGCCCCAACCCTAAACCTCTTTTCTTCAATCTTCACCCTCCTGGACTTGTTAAGGAGTCCTCTCCAATATGTTGCCTGTCACACCCCACCCCTGCCAGGTTTCTGAGCTTCTGCAGGTGGGTCAAGGAGACTGACTTTGGGCCAGTATAAGTAGTAGACACAGAGGGTTCAGATACCTCCAACTGAATGTCAAATCTGTCATTGGTTATTATGATTAACATATATGCATGCACACTATTAATATTTATTAATATATTAAATGCCTCTTTATGCAGCTATAAATATGTAGAGTTCTCATTCCAGGTTTGTGCAGCTAATTCAATCAACATGCACATCCAGAAAGTGAAATCTCCAAGATTCCCCCAAATGTGCCCACACTCATCTACATCACTTACAAAACAACAACAGCCACTCCCTTTGGGCTCCTATAGCTTAATGGCAAGGAAGTCGCCTATCACATGGGTAAAATACCACACACATACATAAACACATTTTCACCTGCATATTACTACAAGCACAGAAACCAAATCCTTTCGAAGGGCTTTTGCACTTAGCAATGGCTTAATTGGGAGGGGGTGGGGGTACTAAAGCAGCTCTCATCTGTGATGAATCCTTATATCTGGTCCTGTCTTCTTTTGTGCTTCACCCTCCCGCCTCCCGCCTTGCTAGCCCAGGGACTCGCACCTCTGCCCTGCCCTCCACCTTGCTTTGCCCCAGTTTTATTTATTTTTATTTTTTTCTGACTACCTTTTGCCAGCATCCAAATGCTCTCTGCACATCGTCCCTCCAGCCCATCTCCTTTCTAAATCTCGATTTGGTTTTTCTTTCGGAAACATGTTGCAGTACAAAGCGCTTCCCTTCTGACATCGCTGAAGAAAAATATGTGTTCATTGTGTGTGAGGCCTTATTGTGCCTGCATTACCATACTGACCGTTGGATAACCCATATTCCTCCCCTCCCCAGTAACAAGCTGCTGGCTGAGAGAGCTCAGCGGCTCCACAGATTCTCTGCTGCATTAAAATCTCACCCCTCTCTGGTTTTTCCAAGGGAGAAAAATAAATGGGAGAACCAATTCAGGATTTGGAGAGCAAAGGAAAGGAAAATGAGGGTCATTCCTTCCCCTCCTCTTCGAAATGCAGGGTTTTTGTGTGTGAGTGGTGTTGTTGTTGTTGTTTTAGGAATTAAAAGTTGCAACATGTTTGTTTCCTTTCACTCATGTAGATTGACTCTTAGATGGTATGCAATCTGGCAATTCATTTCACTTTGATTTTTTTTTTCCTCTGGGCAATGAGAAAACCCCAAACTAAATCAAGGCTCATATCCCTTTGTGCGTGTGTGTGTGTGTGTGTGTGTGTGTGTGTCCCTTTCTAATGCCAACAGCCAGGGCTAATGTATGCAAAAGAATATGCAAATACTTAATTGATTTTTTCTTAAATCTCTTGTCAGTAAAAGTAATGAATTGGTCTAAAATGATTTTAATAACCCGGATGTGTCACCAGAAAATACTCAACCTTTTTTTCTCCTGGAATCGCTTATAGTCTTAAAAAAAAAAAAAAAAAAAAAAGCAATCTTGGAATGTTAATTTGCCCCCCTTTAAAATATTAAAGATGAATTTCTCTCGTTTGTTCAGAGACCATAGGCAAGGTTCTCTCATGGATTTCCCCCGCCTTGCCTTGCCTTCCTTGGAATTCAATTTTCCTCAAATCTCGTTTAAAGTGGCTTTTTAAAAAGTGGCCGCATTTTAATATTGGTTAGACAGAGTGACCTGCATTTCACCTCGGGTGTTTGACTTGTTCCAATAGGTCACTGCCATGGGGTTATTGATGGGGAAACTCCATTGAAATTTGTCTCTTCGCAAATGGCCTTTAGATCTTCCAGCGAGTTCAATAACTAGTTATAATGTGGAAGGGGAAAAATGAAGGCCCTGGGCTAACGAATTTGATGTTTCATTTTTATGCTGGAGAAATTGTTAGTTAGAGGTTGGGTTCCCCACCACCTTCCTCCCTCATCCCGGCCTCATTGGCCCCCATCCCACTAGAGACTGCTGGATTATATCCCCTTTAAAACTTGGTTTGAGGTGGCCCTTGCTCTTTGATGCAAGCTTTAATTCTTATTACGAAAATTGTTGTTGCTGAGAATTCTGATGTGTGGATGCAGGAACCTTGCTCTTTTGCAGGTTTGTAACCTGAACTTTCTTGCTGGGGAGGAGGACTTTTATTTTTAAAGGAACCTCAATGTGGCTTGAAAAGATCTAGAAATCAGGCTGGCCTTAGGTTAGTTTATGGAGGGCTCCCTGGCCTGGTACTCCCAGTATTAAAGAGATGACAGGAAGCTGGAAACACTTTTAAGAGTTGACGAGGGTATCTCAAAGTCCCCTAATCTGTTCTTGGCCTCTGAACTGCCAGAGACCCATGAGGTTAGGCACCCAAGACCAAAGAAGGCAGCGACTGGGAAAGGCTAGGGATAGAGAGAGAATTCTACAGTAGGCAAGGGAATCCTGGGTCCTCTCCAGGGTCGGCGTCAGAATTCATGGGGACTTGGTCGGGTCACCTCTATTGCTTCACAAGAAGGGTACTCCAGAAAAGCTCATTTCCCAAAGAGTGCATTTTAGTAAACTGGAGAGAGCGGAGGAAAATGGAGCGGGGTGATGGAGGTTTAATAAGATTTCCCTTTTTTCTGGAGTTTTTAAGGGAGGGAGAGGAAAAGGCAGAGGAAGGGATTGGAGGTCTTTATTTTATTTTTCCCAACCACAGACAAGTTGGGGAACCCTTGACTCCTCCAGAGAAGCCTCTGTGAGAAAGAACTTTGGAGAGGGCGGTCTCTTGGGCTGACCCAGCCATACCAGATCTTTACCATGATTAACCTCAATAATAAGAACATCTTCCCCTCACAAAACACAGCTCCTCGGGTGCCCTTTTTCTCTCCCAGGAACTGTTCTTTCTCCTTTCCTGCCC